CTGAAAATATTCTGTTGAGCGCATATTGACACTAACAAAAGGTCAAGAAATAGAAAAAGACAAAACGACGGTCAAAATATAAAGGAGAGAAAAACAGAGCATAATACGACAAGAATAAGTTCATTAAATCACTACAATGCTCTGATCCAAACTGAAACACAACAGTACTCAGACATGAGTAAACCCACCACATTGGTACGATCAGAATCTAATCTCCTAATTCGACGATCAGATTTCAATCTTCAATACCAAACAGCTAACCCCCAATATAAAATTTATTGTTCTTATTTTATCAACCAATTATATAAAAAAAAAGAAAAAGTTATTATAGTAATAATTTAAGTCTCAGTTGTGAAATTCAGGGACTCAGGTGGAACTGAAACTTCTCCGTTCTACCATAAAACTATATACATTAAAAGAGTTATATCCTATGTCTATATTTTTGGTCTGCGTTTTCTTTTATGTACATCTTTTCTTATTATTTATTATAACACTCGAATGTTTTGATTACATCACTGTGTGCATCTTTACTCTCGTTGATAAATCAACAGTAGAATCTAACCATATTATTCAATTCAAAAGACTAAAATGGTAGAGGAAATTTCCATAATAAGAAGGTTAATTAAATTTCGAAAATAAAAATAGAAAATTATTTTAAAATTGACCAGAAACGGTACTTTATAGATAAACCATAAGTTAGACCGTCGCTATCAATAACATCGTCTCTAGCGATATACACTTCTAATAACTTTTTTTGTTGTTCAAACATTTTCTTTTTCATTTTTTAAAACTAGACATAATAATAATAAGTAATTAAACCACATGGAAACTTTAAGAATCTAACGTCGATTTCTTTTTCCTTTCATCTAGTAAAGTCATGGACAAGACTTGCTCTATCCGCCACGTTAAGCCTCCACGAAAGAAACGGAACGCCTCCGTGGGCACCGTCGGAGTCACCGTTGTTTGCTCCCCCACCACCGTAATGATCGTCCATGAACCTAATCTCGTTCGCCGGATAATTGCACGGCACCCTCTGCGTAGTGTGATGATTAGCCCAAGAAGTGCCATTATTGTTGTTGTTACCAGTGGCATTATGGTAATTATTGTAGCCGGCGTTGTGGTGACCATACTGATCGGTTGCTACCGGAGCAGCTCCGACGACGGTGTTTCCTGAAGCTGCCGTGGTTCTTCTCTCTTCTTTCTTGAAACGGATGCCGCATGCGTTGCATAGGGACTGTAAATTCCAAAGCAATCCACATCATTATAACCATCAACATCACTAGATATTTAATGTTATGTTTTCAATAAATAAAGTTATAGAGAAACGGAAATATTCAAAAAAAAAAGGGTCTTGAATGTCTTTTTAAAAATTCTTTTGTTTGAATTCTTGATTACTCGCGTTTTAGTATTTTATTTTATAAGTCGCATGTTTAAAAAAAACTAAATTCAACGAAAAATGTTGTCAGTTTATTAAACTAAATTGTGGTTTAAGAAAAAGGAAAAAAAGCATGGGAAATTTTGAAAAAAGGACTTCGGTGTTATGTTTTGTAAATCATTTGTTTTATTTGTTGATTGTTTAACCGAAAGTCGCATTCTAATATAAGAAAGTAAAATTAATCACCTTAGGGCCTCTAGGACCATTCCTCCAAAGTGGAGTAGAAGTGGTGTCGCAGTTGGCACATCTTCTAGCGAGGAGAGAGT